AGATTTGTCTCCTTTCACTTGCCTCCGTGCTAATGGCATCCATTGTCTTGGTAGACTTCATGATTCCCAGTGCCGCGAAGGACAAGCTAGCTTCCATCCTAGCCGTGGATTCTTGGACCATATTTTCATATTGCAACAAATCCTCGAGCACCGCTACCTCTGCCAAAAGCTTACCATCGTCGCCTTCAAACGCATCCGTGTTGCATTCGACATGGTTGATCGATCTGCTTTATGGTATTGATTGTTAAGGAACGGGGCCCCATAGCAGTATACTGCCATCCACTATGCGCTGTACCTCCACATCTCCCACAGGATGATGGTTCATGGCAAGCTATCGTCGTCCTTCGCTGTAAACTGATATGTACGACAGGCAGCGGCAGTAACAACAGCCGTACATGGGCCATTTGAACTAATGCTTTGCTGTCGTTCAGTCACGACGGATTACGGAAGGAGGGACAGGAGACGTTGGAGTAAAACCTAAATGCCTTAAGCAAACATTCAAGATCGACACACTTAACCCTTGTTCCAACATCATACCGTCACAAACAGCTGGCTATCGTGTAAAGATAAGGCGACATCAGCGAGACTGGTTCCTTACGGCTATCACAGCTACGCGTCATAATCCGCCATTACCCCGCAGATACCTCAGCACCAAACACACTTTAAACAGGCAGTCCGACTAGGAGACGGCAGCAGACGCGCAACTGGTGTCGCTTGCGAGCCATGTCCTCTAAATCTTAAGCCAAGAACAAGGCGAGTCACGTGGACTCCGGCTAGGAAGACGAGACGGACCGACGGCACCTAGTTTGGTCTTCACTGACTTCATTTCCCGATGCCAAGTCAACTATTGTCTACTTCCAGCCTCGAGGCACCCTACATCTGGGAGACAGAACATGTCCCCACACGGGAAGCGGTGATCGGGCATATGTAGTACGTGCCCGAGCCAACGCAACTTATTCAGTGCTATCTGTTCTTCTAAGGAACTGGCATGATTTTAGATACCCAGTACTCGCTTGTGCTCATCATCGTTGCGGACACGCTTGTGCCATCCGACACCAGCAATGCTTCGCAGATAACGAGGACCAAAGACACGACGACGGCTCAGATCCAAGGGTCTAAGTCTCATTCTCAAAGAGTAGGACGGCCCTCACTGTGGCCTTGTAAACACGGCCTTCCAAACCAAGCGGAGCAAGCACCTTTCTGACGCCCCAGATGTCGCAGATTCAAGAAGACAGTTCTTGCCTTTACAATGCGTGTAGTGACTTCAGTCGTGCGCCCATCGTTGCCATAGCAGCTGCTAAGATAGGTGATCAACTACCTCGAGTTACTCGCCATCAAGGGCCAAAGAGTCATCAAGTGGCTGATGGTCCTGTAATAGCACTGCACTTTGTAGGTCCGGATCGCATGCCTACTGATGGGATCACTCCTCAGCAGTTATTCAGAGTTGCTTGGGTCGCCTCAACATCGTTACAGAATAAGACAATGTTGTCCGCATGATCAAGATCAACTAGCTTTTCCCTGGGCAAAACTGCCTTCATCGTGAGGCTACGCAAGGGAACTCCATGATATAGTTCACGACGGAGTTCAACAAAAACGGGAAAATTGGACAACTCTGACGAACGTAACTTGTTGTCAGAAGGCATCCGACAAATCACCGGAGACCCTGGCGCGACCTCTGGTGTTCGAGTATAAAACACGTAAAATCTTCACATATTTCATGGGAATACCTTTCGATTCAAGTAGCTGGAACACAGCGGATCGATCGTCTGCGTCGAACGCACACTTGAAGTCGAGGAACACAGCTGCTGTCGGCTCGCGTTACGTGTGGCGCCACAGAGTGAATTTGTCGTCCATACAGCCCTGTCCTGGGCGGAAGACTGCTTGCTCTTCCTTAATCCGGGATTCTCGTTCCGCAGTGCGGCAACGAACGCGAATTGAGCCAATAATTTTGATACCACTGGCGTTAAGATGATACTTGTTTGGCTAGCGCAGTTGTTGTGGCCATCCTTCACGTATATGGTCACTAAAATTTATTCACTCCAGTTAACTGGTCTGACCTTCCAAACCTGCTCGAACAGCGAGGCCAGTTTTTGCGGATGACCCATCACCTTAAATAATGCTGCTGCGAGGAAAACCGGGTCAGCAGCAAGAACACAACTAAGGGCTACAATCGCGTTTTGGACCTTATCCTCCGACGGATCCTCTAAACTAACAAGCCATGGCTAAACCTGAATTATCTGAGTAGGAATACATCCAAGAGCAAGGGAACCAACTGAACTGATCTCAAAACCGCTCCGCTCACTGAGCCATATAACGCTCTTTATTGTGAATCAGTGCATCCGCGTTGTCTCTCATTTCCTCGCTGACAGATGGGTTCGTGCAGTGACATAGCAAGATGCCGTCCACAGCGACATTTGTGTTGTGAGTTGCTTTGTCCCTCCACATCCCGCTTGTCTTTTCCCTCCAACCACGATTCCATTCTTGAAGTGTAATGTTATTAAGCAGTATGTTTCCTGATATCCGAAGGTTTGAGTACAAATCGCTTTTGGTAGGATTTTATTGTGGCAACGTCTCGCCTTTGACGCATGAGCTTCTTCAGGCCAGGTGAATCGTTACAAAATTGGCTTAGCTTTTTATGAGAACGTATGTTTTTCAGCAGTATGTTTCCTGCTGCTTCTTGTTTCCTCTAATGTCGCTTTTTGTTACATATTTTTATATTTTATTATATTTTATATTTTGCATTTCGGCACAATAATTGAAGTGTGTTTCTCACCTTCAGCTAATTTATAATGATGACGATATATCTAGGGTGTGTTGTAATTGACAAGCTGGAACCCCGGGTGTGGAGGAAGGATCAGTTGACTTTTACCACCAAATGACGATGTGCAAATCGATGATGCTCTCGACACTTCTTAACCGCAGTGCAATATAGACCTTGTGCAAGAAGGACATCTGATATCCATCACAACTGCCTATGTTGGATTCTGCGCATTTCTTGGTATGACAGAGAAGCGCTCCGTCGAAGTACCATATATGAAGTGGACTGTATACTTCTGCCATCCGTGATGTGGCCGTATGAATGCGATGAGGATACCGAACTGCCTACTATAGGTCTAGCTGCGTGCAGGGAAGGGAATGGGAAACCGAGACTAAGTTACCAGGACATGAATGATCAAGGTGAGTTCATCGTGAACTACTGTTGGTTTTAGATGTTGAGAAGCGGTGGTATTTGATCGCAAACGATAGCGTGACAACATCAAGAATACAGTTAACAACTGCACGAAAAATTACTGTTGAATCATTAAGAAAATCAGCTTTTATAGAAGCGACAGGTGCTGATGTAGCCTAGACCATTGACGTTAAGCACATGTTGCTGTAGCACATGCGGTCGTGTGTGCCTCAGTCAAGCCGCTCTGGTAAGCCATCAACGTAGTCACAAGAGGCTAATATTAAAAGGGCGACGTGTAAGGTAAATAGGTAAAGGCCAGCGCTTGGTAAGTACGCCGCTTCAGATTCTCTTTACTATCCCAGGCTAACAGCACGTCAGCTGTGACACGTGCTTTACCTCATTGCTGCATTCTATTTGTATGTGCACCTACATCTTGAGATCCTTGCATTTCAGTGTTTGGTTATTGAGTGCTATCCATGAGGTGGCTGCACTTGGTGTGCATGTTGACAAGTTGCCTACCTGTATATTACGCTCCACCTCGATTATACTGACTCCAGAATACTGCTAATCTTTGCTGGAAAGCTGGTTGCACGGTCCTCGTGATCATGATAGGCTCAGAGAATGGTTTCATCCAATGTGGAGCGGACTGCTACCCAGCCACCATCTTATGTATATTTGGTACGCATGATTCCAAAGTTAGATAAACTGGAATTCTGCTGTTGTGTCTGTTAAAGGAGTGTAAGCCGGCTCCGTTGATGCAACGTGGCTCCCATCCACATGCCTCACGGTCGTACTCCTTCGGCTTTACACCGGATATGGGGTGTGCGGATGGAGCTGTGGGTAGTACTGCACAAGCCACCCATGGTTCTTCAGTAAGCGCAAGCGTCCAGAACCGGATGCCTCCAAGCATATAATAAGTGTATTTTTCTAATCGCGGTGATATTATATGCTGTTGTCCACTATTGGGCTCTCCATGGTTGTAACTTGGTCACCCCCATTACGCTTCTGCGATGTATACTATGGCATTTTCTACGCAGTGGTTGAACACTCGAGTGCTACTTCAGGACCGCAGACTGTTCTAAATTCTCATTTCCCTTCTCATCTTGCCATCTGTCACCATTGATGAAACCATCTGAGTCACTTGACTGTGCGCATACAACGAAGCATCAGTCCCGTATGCTAGAAACTAGTGACTTAAAGTAAACTGGACAACTGCGAGTAGCAAACATCAAGGACATTAATTTTTGCATCTTAGAAGTGGCAAATATCTTTTTCTTCCTTCCCAATGCCTATCGATCATTTTTCTGCTTAAATTCACTATTAGTTTGCATCACTGGACCTTTATCACCTTAGAAATCTGCGTTGATTACCACTTCACAGCCGCTAGATTTCCTCTTATTCTACCGGTACTTGCCTGCGTCCCATGGTTCCTCTCTGTACTCCGTCTTTCATCACTCGTTCACTTCTGTCGCTGCGATTTTCCCCTTCAGTATTTTTGCATCTTTAGACTCAGAAGTCCGCGCTCTCAGTTCAGGTACTCAACTTCCGAACTCTTGCTCAAATAACAAATAAGTACTTGCTTCTGAAGCATTGCATGGTCACGTTCCTATACTCCATTCTCTCTCTCTCGTCAGCTCTGGATCGGGTCGAACATATGCCATCACCGCTGTGTTCGGGTGTCAACTTAATTTTTGTACATAGCGTGTCATAGCGTGACGCGCAGTTCGCGTTTGTTTACTTACGTGAAAATGCATGCTCTTACGTGCGAATTGTCCACATGGACAGTAAACCGTTGTCATGATCTTTCTCTTTTCGATTTGCTTCTGTCAGCTATATACTCATCGGTGATCACTGTTCGTATTTGCTACTACCATGGTTATTGAACGAAAAATCCTCTCACCTCAAGATATGAATGCATGGACTGTTTCTTGTGCATACGAAGAAATCGTTACTTTCATCCAGTCCGTCAGTCGACACGTCACTTCCAAACCTATCAAGCCAAATCTGCCGGTTTCTCAGGTGAGCATTTCCCACCTCTCTGTTTCACCAAATAGTCCAGGCGATCACCTCGGTTGTTGATCTCTTAAAGGAGCTAATCAAAATGATCGACTCCTTTCCCGCAGAAGAACAGCCCCAGAGGTTTGGTAACAAGGCGTTCCGATCTTGGTTCAATTGGTTGAAACAGAATGCTTCAGATCTATGCAAATCGATGTTGTTCGCACAAAATGAAGTCAAAGGTGATAGCCTTAGCAGTAAGTTATTCTACCGGTGTTTTCTACAGTCGTTGCCTTTCTTATTCTCAAGAATACCACTTCATTGTATTGCATTAAGGTTTCGAGTTGCCTATATTTTCCAACATTATCCAAGGAATTCACTGGTGAAGTGACCTGCGTTGTTTTATCTGCTCACTGGTGTGTTTCGAAAATAAAACCATTGGGACCAACAACGCATGACGGATTCTTTAGACAAACTTGAACCCAGCCCACTTTTCGCATGTCAGTTCAATACTACGGCTACTTCATTAGGCAGTTTCCTCCAACAATATCCAAGTGCCAATAATAGATGCTTTTTCTGTCAACTTGAATTTAGGTTAACTGTTTCATCTGGTCATCGTCAGTGTTTACTAAACTATTTCGCTAACCTTACAGAAGCTACTGCTTGAGAATACAAGAACTGATTTGAGTTCGGCCACCGCAATACTGTTCTCTGATGCTTACTGATAATATTGTGCCCTGAATCGGATTCTGAAACGAACTCACTAGCACTATTGATCACTGCGTCCGCCGAAGGATTCCCATTGTTATGGGCAACTGTGGACTGAAGAGATAACGTTCGAGTGACCGTCTGAAATATTCGTAGCTGTGCAGCTTCGAGTTGCTGCCGTTGTTGGCCCCAGGTATTACGATGAGATGGAAGTCTTTATTTAATTTATCTCCGTCGCGAAAATCTATCGTGATTTCCGCAAGCCCTACAAATAACCTGCTGTGATTGCGCAATCTGGATTGGTCGACTTCCCAGATCAGAAGAAAAAGGCGTAATCTCTATTGAGCACCCGACAAACAATTTGAACAGCCAGTAGATGAGGTCAAGCTGAAGTGTTCACTGGAAACTGACCTAGGGGAAAGTTCCTAGTTTCCGGCACCTACTAACTTCTTTTAAATGCAGTTGTTGGTTGCCAGTAGACTACACTCACTGGCGAACTTCGTCGTAGGTCATTCTCATTGGTAAACTTCAGGGTGATACTCTCTCATTGGCTATCCATTTAGTTTCAGGCTGCGTCGTACCGGGCTGCTAACAAGAGGACGGATTCCTATGGTTGCTGTGGAAGAGCTCTCTCAACAGACAGTCACAAAGGGTCAGCTTCACTAATCGTGAGATCGAGACGAGTAATAGTGCTTGTCTTACCACAGCCAGACAGGACCTCCTGTGAATTCCAGTCGACTGCACATATTGGGCTTCCTCGGGTGGATGATGAAAACCGGAGCAACCCAAGCAGCCTCTAAATGTTTTTTTATATTGACTAACAAATTCGCCGCATGCATTGTGACCCTTGATGCTCCCAATGAGATGCCGGTCGATCGAACTGGTCGGCAACTGAAGATCACTCGCCACCGAGCTTCACACAATTTGATCCGATTTCCGCGTACACAGTTTGCTCGATCGAAGCACACGCTGCCGCGAGTGCAGTTGGAAAAGCAAACACATGGTAGCGGGGACTCGATTGTAACCTGTACTTGTGTACATCCATGGAAAAGCACCAATCGAATTCACAAGTGGTTGTACCAGGTGTCACCATCCCACGGAAATGCTTTCGTAGCCTCATCCAATGAGGTATCGATGTACGTGATCTGGCTTTTGATACCGTTAGTGACACGTTAACATTTTTTACCATTCGAATAAGGCATTCTTATTATCCTTGATTTCATTGTTAAATACGACTGGTTTTTATGAGTTCTGCGTCAATTTATCACTTTCCTTCTGGCATGTGCATTTTTATGATCGTCTTTCTAATCTTTGATTCCATAGTCACCTTGTTTTTGATTTCTATGATCAACTAGTCTCTGTGGACGAAGGTTTGGAGGAAGTTGCCGGGTACTTGGTCGAATCCGTTGGGAATTCAACTCGCATCGACTATGGCACAGGACACGAACTCGCCTTCATCGCGTTTCTCATATGCTTGTTCAAGATGGGCATCCTGCGACCACCTACCTCTGGGGGTTCAGTGCCTGGTCAGATAAATGATCACGCGGCTGTAGGACTTGTAGTAATGCCAGCTTATCTCCGCCTTGTTCGGCGACTGCAGTTATACTACCGCATGGAGCCTGCTGGATCGCATGGTGTGTGGTGCCTGGACGACTTCCAGTTTGTCCCCTTCATCTGGGGCAGTAGTCAACTGATTGGTGAGTGTCCGATAAACGTATTACAAATAGGCTACCGTTTGTTACGAAGTCCACGAACACTGGTGATTCTGACACGAATGATCTGATGAGAACGCATGGCAAGCTGTTCGCTTGAAAATCAAAGGTTGTTGCTATTTTATTCTTTTCTTCGTTTGCGTCACTAGAACATTTCATTTGACTACTCCGTTTATCTACTCCAGATTTATCATTATTATTAGTTATTATTTTGACTGCATGTGTCGAAGCAGTTCGAGCCACCGCACCTCGGACCAAAGATCGTCGTCGATAAATTGAGTTAAGATTAACCATCATAGATATTTTGCATTATTAATACTGGACTGATATCGCTGCGCTCACTAGTACCCGGCAGCATTCCTTTGTCCCAGTTATAGGCGTATTTGCTTATAGCGTCAAAAAAGCAGGCTTTACCTATCTACGACGACTCCGGTTGGCTATAGGATTACGCTTGCTTTGTTAACCGGAAGTCACCTGTTCCAATCCGTGCACATGCAGACGAACTCGCGGTATACCCAGCCAGCGCACGCCTGGTGGTGTTTGTTTGGCAGCGAAACCTCATTGCGGTGTGTCGGCGTATTGCTGCTGCCTGTTTGCCTGTTTCACGTCCGTCACTTGGTTGAACGTGTTTGCGCTGTTTTTAAGAAGGTTCGTTGCGGCCGGACTCAGTCAGACATCCCAGAAAAGTGCTTGGCCACCATTTCGTTTTATTGGGACTTCAGTATCGCGGGTCCGCTGGATCTTTCTGGTTACGAATTCTTAGGAGCCAGTGACGGCGACGGACCGCCATGACTGTGTGTTAACTATGACACGACCTGACTCATCTTATAGATACCACCAGCTTGTAGCGCTAAAATCGAACTTCAACTAATAGAATAGGAAAGAATAATTCCCTTAGCATAAAGGTTTGTTGTTTTGTTTTCAGCAATAAACAATTGTATTATGGTGCTCTGCTAAATTTCCACCCACACTCTTGTTCAGTGTGTATTTAAATAAGAGAAAACAATTTGGTGTGTGAACGCAAATGGGGGCTCCGTTCCGCTGGATGAAAAATGGTAAAAGCGGACATTTTAGATGAATGCACGGCTGCCATAGTGAAAGGTGTTGATGTATATTGCTGCAAATTCACTCCATAGAACTATATGCATGCAGCAGTCCCACTGCCGGCATTTAGGAGTTACGGCCCAACACAGCAATTTACCTATTATATTCAAATTCTCAGAAACTGTTTATTAACACAAAAATAACGTGTTCTTGGCAACTCAAAAAATTAATGCATTAAGCGGTTGCCCAAATTTTAAATGTCAGTTAAATGTGTTTACACACCAATAGGTTTATAATTAGTTCTTCCTTATGTCCATTTAAAATACAGACTGGTGGGACACTACCTATCTTATATCGTCATGTGTGTTGTGAACGTGCAGAAGACAAGTTTAGCTCCCAGAGCCACAATTTTGCAAGCAGCCAGGAATCGTGGTGGCATATTAGAGAATAGGGGTTATTAATTGCGGTTTTGAGAAAGTCAATAAATTTTGTTGGCTGTACAAAACATCTGCTGGTGGCGTGATAGTTTTCCATCTCTAGCGTTGTACACGCTATATTATTTCCGTCCAACCGAGTTGTCAATAGTTTTCCTTTGGTCAGCGACTGTCGCCGTGCACCGATACAACGTCTAATTCAGTAGTCCCTGCTCCAACAAACAACGTTGGTCCTGTCCATGTTAACTGCACCACACCTTCAATTGTAGTTAAATAAAACTTTCTCGATGTCAGCAGTACGCCGGAACTTTGTACCGACTCTTCGCTGCCAAGGAACCACAAGCGGTTGCATGCGAGCCCGGATACTTCGAGAGCACGCGGAGGTTCACACCGGTGGCTTATGGACCAAAAGTCTAACTCCTGGACCACTCCGCCACCGGTCGGTACCTTTGATTCTATTTAGTTTTGTGTGTGGCGCTTCTGCCTTCATTGCACGACCTCACTGTCACTAGGATGTGGTTTCCATTGCTACCGAACATTCCGTTAGCGTGCAATCGTCTTGTTTGTTAACCTCTGTTAAACTTTTCATCCGTGTCTGTAGGCCACGACCAGTATGGACCCAGTTCGATTCCCGATAGTCAAATCGCCTCCAATGAGAAGGACGCTTACCTGCTTTTCTCGTGTATCGACTATATTTATCAGGTAAGTGCATTTGTGCTTGCTCGCTCGCTCGTCGACTGATTGCATCCCGTTTTGACTAACCACGACTTCTGGTAAACACACAGGAATTTGGATGCATCGTGGCATTTGCAAGAAGTCCTATCCCTCCTATTTTCTTTATATATCGAAAAACCTGTACCGTCCAGCTTTATTGGATCCAAATGTGCTGATGGTGTCCTTTTGGGGTGTATTACTCCTACTGTTAAAACATCTACTCTTCAGAATCGTCTGTATGAGCACGTGCTGTAGTCATCTTCCTGGTTTCTCATTCTACGCACTTCTAAATGTTGCGGTATATCATTCTCTTTTCTGCGGGTCGATAAGTTCCAGGCTGTTTTGGATGTCACTACCTCACTGACAGTGAATGACCAACTCATACCCAGAACATCAATTGTCAAATACCCAGAGGCATTTGTATTCCAAACTCTACCTTCGTCCACTCGTCGCCGAACCGTCTCACACGGTTATAAGGTTATAATTCAAATGCATTCGTACCAGCAGCTCACCAGCTACACAACACAACCCCAATCCGGAAAAGCACCACACGCGTTTCGCCCTCTTGGGACACGTCCGGGGTGCGCATTCCCTCGGTCCGCTACTGGGGATCGAACTAATGACCGCCAGACTGGGGCAAACTAGCCAGCAGCTTAAGCCGCGGCTCCAATTTGGCGAAACGCATCTGATGCTTTTCCGGCTTGGAGTTGTGCTATGTAGCTTGTGGGCTGCTGGGACGAAGGCATTCAAATTACACCTGTTATCATCCTACTCATAATTCGTATTATAAGTTTATGCTTTTATGCCCTCACACCTAAAATGCTTTCGGTACCCTGTGGTTTGATTCCCAAACTTGTGTATGCATGCATTTTGCCTCACTGGTTCCACCATTCCTCTACCATTTTTTCTGGGTTACTTAGAAAAGACCGCACATTATTTCTACGGTCCTTAAAACTTAATTCCAATTACATTGGCTTATTCAAGAAGGCCCTGGTTGATTTTATTTTCAACAAACAGGTAGATGTTTGTGCCAACTTTTCCTTTACTGTTTAGGCGACCCTTTTCACTCACTACATGGTTGTTTATCGAAAGCACCCTCTGTTTCTTTTTTTGTTTTTTCGTACTGCATTTTATCACAATTCCATCTCGCCGTACTGGTCATGATGAAGAAAGTTACCAGTATGATGCGTGATTATTTGCTTAAGTTGTACCATTATACATTTTGTATCTGACACTTTATTTGTTTTTATGCACTCATGTATTTCTCCAATCTCAGCGCTGGTGTGCAATACTAACTATGTAACTTCCCGGGTATTTAAACCGGATCAAAATATGCTGGCATCGGGCCTGAGCAAGCGCTCTCTGAACACAGTGAAGGGCCACTGATCGCGTATCCGCCAGACGTTATTAGCAACAGGCATGTCCACGTGGCAAATCGTATTGCCAACCGGGACATTAAATCTCTCCGCAGTCTATGGGTGTTTGCCAATATGCTCCGTCTGGACGCGTACACAACGAGACTAGCAAAGATCTCAGGGAGCAACCGCGTGACAGCTTGAAGAGAGACCGGGAAGCCAGATCGTCTCATCGTGCATCGGAGATGGAAATGACCGCTGCTCTTGGTAGCCATCGGGAATTATTCCGTCTGATGCGCGATACGGGCAGGAGGCCTGGTCTTAGGGAGACCACGCGTGACGAGGGTCGACGGCCAACCCACAGTTTGTCACGACGCTTGGAGCGTTAGGCCGTACACTTTGAAAACAGGCTTAATTAACCAGAGTTATCAGCTTCTCCATCGGCCATTAATCTCCCTTCTCCCAGGGCCGTCCTCCTAGATCCGTTTACACGCGTAGACTTGAAGTGTTCGTCCCTCGCCTGAATGGACGCTTGATTCCCAAACAAAACCCGAAGTCGCTGGCCCCCACAGGACAGAGAGAAGACCGGATCGGACGATCAGAGCAATATGCTTGTATTAGCGAATCACACCGTTCATTATAAAGGTGAAATGGAAAGTTCGTGAATGGTATTTAAAGCGCACGTGGAAAGCTCTGGAAAGGTCAACTTACAGCAAATCAAGGAACGCCGCCCTCGCGTTAATTGGCCGCTTCTCCCGGTTGGCTCTCTGTTCGCCCCAATCAGGGCGGATGAGTTTGGATCGCCTGCCGCGGCGATGGGGTCCTGGCTTGTTCGCATCGCGTATTCCTTCCTAACACTTCCTCCCTTTGAGTTGTGTTGTACGATTTCAGCTTGGGGTTGACTTGCATGGGTGACACGAATTTGCGTCGCCGCTTCGGCCTCTGTGCTGCTAGGTTTCGGGGCGAATGTTGTGGTTGCTGTGTTGGGGCATGTTGGGGAGTCTTCGCTTCACCTGCGTCGGCCAGTATGTCCAGAGGTAACTGCGCTGCTGGTACTTGTTGTTGCAGTTGTTCGCCAGTCCCTGCCTCTAGCAGCTGATTGGCATGTCTTACCCAAATTGCCGTCCCAACCTGGATACCGTAGATCACGTTATCACGTTTGTATAGCACACGGCCCATAGCCCATTTAGGATAGTGGATGCGATAATCTCTCGCCAGAACTTGTTGACCAACATTAAAGGCTCGCTTCCGAGCACCATGTCGGATGTTGAATTGACGCTCCATCTGATAGTTGCGGGACAGTAACTGATCCTTCCTGGGTCTGAGGGCATCATGCGGCACACGGATTTTCCTTTGAAACAAAGTTTCAGCCGGAGATAGTGCGTTCGGTGTCTGCGGATTTGGAGTTGTGCGATACGTCAGAAGAAATGTGTCAAGAATCTCCTCCAAGGTACCTTCCCCTTTCATTTTTAGCAAGGCTCTTTTGAGTGTATCCACAAAGCGTTCCGCTTGCCCGTCCAATTGTGGGTGGGAAACTGGAGATCTTTACATGGACGACCGCGTTTCTTCGATAGAAGACAACAAATTCAGAGGAGGTGAGTTGTGTACCATTGTCGGAAACCAACGTGTGGGGAACACCGAAACGAGAAAATACCTGTCGGAGAGCGGAGACAGTGGCTGCTGCGGTGGTTCTCACCATTGGAATCACCTCTGGCCATTTACTGTGGGCATCGACAACGATGAGAAAATGATGACCGTCAATTGGAACTGCCAAGTCGACGTGTACCCTTGACCATGGTTCCGTTGGTATTGGTCAGAATTACAGTTCCGTCTTCCTTGGCTGTTTAGATACACTGGCACATCGGGGACAATTCTTCGTTAAATTCTCGATCTGGGAATCCATATAGGGCCAATACACATAGCTTTGTACTAGCGATTTCATGCGATTCATTCCTGGATGGCCAGTATGAACTTGTCGGAAGACTCTCTCTTGAAGGATGAGAGGAATGAGGACACGATTTGAGAACAGCAGACAATTGCTGACGACTGATAGTGCTTCCTTTCGTTGGTGGAATTGTTGAAGCTTCGGTGTTGTAACTCTCTTTGTTCAGCCATTGAGGTGGAAATGGATCACTTGTTGTAGGGTAGAATCATGATGGGTCGCTTCCTGCACCATTTCGAACGTTACTGGTAAGGCACCGAAAATGTCAGACACAACTTGATGTACTTGGGGTTCTACGTAGATTTGATCAACTACCAAATTGTCTGGTTCTTGATGTTGTGTACCAATTAAACGAGATAACGCATCCGGTTGACCAGTGTTGTGTGTAGATTGATATTTGACGACGCAATCGTATCCTAGTAGAACCGTTACCCAGCGTTGTAGACGACTGGCCGTGCAGACTGGAATGCCTTTCTTTGATCCAAAGTTTGCGACCAAGGGTTTGTGTCAGTGAACAGCATGAATTTTCGTCCATATAGCATTTTGTGAAATCGCTTGCCTGCAAACACTATAGCCAAAGCTTTTTGCTCTATCTGCCCATAGTTACGTTCCGCTGGGGTAAGTGATCTGGCTGCATGTGCCCCAGCTTTCTCCGAACCATTGGGGGAAATGTGGGATATGACTGCTCCAATTCCGTAGGCTGACGCGTCAGCAGCAACTATTATCTCCGGCTCCGGATTGAAATGCCTTAGCAATAGGTCAGAACACAATATAGACTTGACACTATCAAATGCGGTTTGACATTCAGGAGACCAGACAAATTTGCGATCCTTTACCAGAAGTTCATTGAGCGGTCCTCGTAGCCGATGCAATTCGGGCACAAAAGAGCTGTAATGACTGATCAACCCCAAAAATGATCTGAGCTTCGCGACATTGTCAGGGGGAGGCATCTGTTTTATGGCACTTATGTTGGAAAGATCCAGACGACAGCCATCCTTGTCGATGGTGAAGCCAAGATACTTTACACACTTCATGCCGGTATTGCACTTTTTTGCTTTCAAGTGAAAATCGTAGTCATTAACGCGGTGGAGAACTGCTTCCAGTCTTTCCGTCAGCTCTCGGAAGGTAGACCTTTGATTATGATGTCGTCCAAGTAATCTGCGACTCCTGATAACCCAACTAACGTCGTATCCATAATTTGTTGAAAAATGCTGGAGCTGATTTGACATCAAATGACAAACGGTTGAACTGATAAAGACCTCGGTGCGTATTGATTGTCAGCAACTCTTTCGAAGCATCGTCGACTTCAATTTGAAGATAAGCATCTGATAAATCTAACTTTGCAACGTAAGCGCCACCACTGAGCTTAGGAAATAACTCTTCTGGGACTGGCAAAGGATACTGGTGCATTTTCAAAGCAGCATTCAATCCCGTAGAATAGTCAGCACAGATACGAACGGTTCCATTGGTCTTCTTGACGACAGCAGTAGGTGCTGCCCACTCTGAATAGTTCACAGGTTGGATGACGCCGGCCCGCTCCAAACGATCAAGTTCCGCATCAACAATCGGAAGCGCAGCATATGGTCGGAATACGGGTTTGACACCGTCTTTGAGAGTAAGGCTTGCTTTGCTCTTTGTGCATCTTCCCAAGTCGTTGCGAAACACAGACGGGAATTTCCTTCGTAGCTGCT